GGATAGACCGAAGAGCTGCTATTCTCTGCCTAGAGTCAGTGATGCATCAGTGCACCGTACCATAATAAAAGCCACAAATAAAGTACAGTGCCAAAAAGCTGGAAAAAACACAGCCATTGCTGGAGTTCTGGTTCCCATGGAAGCTGAGGTTGTTAAGAAAAACCTACACCTGATTCCAGGTATCAGAGTAACATGGGTATGTCCTAACCAGCCCACTCTTTTCTTTGGCACTCAAAAGCTGCACTGCAGATCTTACTGCATTGTGCTTCAACTTCCCCTGAGACTTGGTTTGGGGAGCAAATATGTTTATGCTGATGTCAGTGTCCCGTGTCTTTCAACCACAGAAAAAGCCTTAGAAACCAAAGGGGAAAAGCTGTGTTTCCCTCCAGAACAGCACGTAGGTCTGCCATACATTGATAAACAGTCTCAAGGGCTGCAACACGTGCATTTCAACAGTACGGGTGGAGACTTCAGGTCAGTCTTATCACCTAGGAAAGGGCTGCAGTTAGAGAAAAGTGTTTAGACTTTGTCCCTCCCAGCCTACTTAAAAAGTTGAATGGTGATTACTTGGTTTATTGTGAAAGACTTTATTTACCTCCAAAAAACTCCCAGACTTCCTCAGTTGACCGAGAGGTTTACAGACTTCACTTTCCTTCTATTTGAGGCATTTAAGTGCTGCTCTTCGTGCATGCGTTCAGCTGTCACGAGAATCCAGATGCTCCCACTTGGTTGCACTGGCACTTCAGCCTACTCAAAACAACTGAAAATGATAGCCTGCAGCTCTGAAGATTGAATCGCTCACATAAACCAGATCTGTGCTAGGAAGGGGGAAGTCCTATTACAAGAACCTATAACTTTACCAGGCTGTTTACCCAGGAATGTATAGAAGATAGGTTAGGCTTGTTTTAAATACCCTCAGAGAGGGTAGGAGTCATGTATTTTCCAATTGCTATAATTGCAGACACAGTAACACTTCCTGCTGCACTTAAGGGAGGGCCCAGTTCTGTATGTTGCCAGGCAAGCTAAGAGGCTGAGGAGGACGAGTCGTTTATTTGCCTTTATACTGCCGAAACATAGAACTTGGGAAACATAATGATGAAAACTCAGAGCAAGAATTCTTAGGATCTCAGTGGAACAGTAGCAAAAAATTCTCTCATCCATCAAGACCGGGGGGTAAACGAACCCAACTGTTCTTCACTCGAGAGACCAAGCTAGGGCACCTATATTGTACCCGTCTTTATACAGAAGGATTTCAAGCAGCAGAGAGGAAAGTGACAAGTTTCAGTAGGAGGGGAATGCTGAATAGCCCTCCTCTGTCCTGAACCTCACCTATTTGTCTTGCCAACTACACTTGACAAATGGAAGGGAGCAGCGAAACAGCCAAATGTCTCGCTGATCTGCGAGAGGACATGGAGCCAAGCGCTCCACACGGCTGTCCTCTGCCACCTGCCTGCAGCCCTCCCTCCCCTAACCTCACTCAATGCAAGACAAGCCCGCACCATCTGACTTTCACACCTTCGGAGGGCAAAATATTTGGAAATAAAGAGAAGCAAGCCCCAACAGTGTGTGGCTTTTAATCCCCAAATGTGCAGGCAACACAACATTAAACCAGAAAAATTCATAGTTAATGGCTGTTTCTTCCCTTTAACTAATAACATAAATTTTGAAGCTTATAGTCACGTTTGCTATACTATATACAGTTTCTCAGGATCAAATTCAGTATTTGGCACTTTAGATGGTAAGATGTATAAAAGGGAAATACTTGACTAAAATTATATAGGAAGTACTGTGTAATTTCATTTTCTTCAGCAATGAGGGTAGGAAGGTTGGACAGTTAAAAACACAAACTTAAAAAAAAAAAACAACAGGTCATAAATTGTATTGGGTTTGCCTTTCTTCAAAGGCTGGACTTTGTAGTCAGAGCCCTGGAAAGAGCTTAACATCCCTGAATTCTGAACCAACATCAGTAACAGCAGAGACACTACAGCTATGAAAAAACACCTTGTGCTTTTCCTCTTTTAATGGGATGTGCTAGGGGTCTAGTGACACCAGGCCTTCTGTTTGCAAATAATCTCGCTATGTAGTATGAATTTTACATTTGGGTCCTCATCTAATTTATTTTACTACTTTTTGTTGTAAATATTCCACACACCCTCACATACCTTAGCACATAGGAGATTTCAACTGCACATATATATGTGATTTTTAAATGTTAGTTTCTACAACTGTCTGCATAGTAATAACATGTTCTGCAGGTACACCAGAAAACCTCTGTGTGCAATGTTCACTAAAAGGAAATAGGACAAAAGAAACCCAAAACAACAATGCCAACATTTGTATTGTGGTACTAGCTCTGAAACTGTAACAATGTAAAGCCTCACCTCTGACCTGGTAACTGTATTACATTCTTCAATAGCACATCTTTCAACAAAACTACTGCCAAAAATCAGGCCTGAAAACAAGTTAACTCTTGTTTGAATAGCTTACCATTTTTCTCTACTGTTACAGATGCTGTTCTCTGACACCTCTTTATGCTTCTGCACTACTGGTTTCAAACAAACGTCGTAATTTTTCTTTTATCTTGGAGCCCAGAACAGCAGTAAAATATAAGAATATGCCAGACGCCTGTAAAAGCCAAACATTCATCCTTGCATTTTTCATCTCAAGAGAATGGCTTCCAATACAAAGGTCACAAGCACTGGTTCACAAGCAGAGCATAAACTCTTAATACTTTACCAGCCTTGTTTTTTTCCTCACCACTGTGGAATCACAGAGCTAAATCCTTCCCAATTCCCAACTGAGGAATGAGGAGAGCTTTCACAAAATAATTTCTAACCAGAATCTGCTAATGGTCTTGCTGTTCAAGAGTACACACGCAGTTCTCAAGCATCAACACACAAGATTGCTTGAATCTCCTTCCTTTTTGACCTGGAAAAATGCTGAATAATCTTACGGCTATACGCTTTCACATCTAGACACAAAAACCAACACACAGTCAGGATGTTCATGCTGCTTTCAGTAACTGAGACCGGCTTGAAAAGAATTTACACATCACTACCTTAAAAACAGGTTAACCAAGATCTTTGGTTTCCCTCTGCTGAGTTGCAATTAACTGTCCTCAGCTTGCTTTGCTTTTGGATAGACTGCAGTGACATACAAATTGCAGATATATTCTAAATGTGGCCACCGCAAAATGTAGTGCCAAGAATTCAGTAGTTATTGAATCTTACCCACTTCTACTAGACTCAAAAGCCTTTGAAAAGGCTCTCCGAAGCAGGTTTGTTTTTAAGCACCAGCCTGCTCCTCACAGCACTCCAATTTTCCTCATTTTTTTTTTTCAATGGTAATCAAGCAGCCAGCCATTTTCCTGCTAAAGAATAAATCACCTGTTAGAACAAGCCCTTCATGTGAAATTCATCACATCAGATATTGGCACTGAGATTAGGAAAAGGAGCCAGTTCAAAGTCCAAGACAGAACAAGGAGCGGGTTAAAAAATGAAAAATTTCAAAGAATGCAACCTCGTTTTCAAAATGGGCACAAATTAGGCATACCATAGCTGTGATGCATAAGCGCCCATGGTGGCATTATATTTAATCTGCCACAAGACTGCTTATTATGCATTAATTTGGAGCAGCACAGGAGTCGCTGGGTGCTAACATGACATCACTTCTTACTTATAATAACTCTTAATATCCCAAAGGAAAAGATAAGCTGAGACACAGAGAGGATCACAATGGCTGGTATCTTAATTCTACTCCTATCTCAAATTATCAGTTAGGCACGCACACATTTCTATCAAGTCAGAACAAGGATCTTCTAGAACATAGGAGATACAGGAAATGTATCAGGCTGCTGGAATTTGGGTAGTGATCCACCTAGACGCAGTGGTTTTCTTACCCTGGGCAAATTAACAGTAAAAGGAGGTCAAAAAATGAGGAGCAGGCAGGAGAGGGACAGAGAACCCTGAGGCGATCAACAGAAATTACAGCCCTTGATCGTTTTGTTTTTATCTTCAGTAACAGAAGACCCCAGAGGGAAGTCTACTAGAGATTTCCCATTTCTGAGATTCTGAAAACACAGCAAAAAGAATACAAATATTTGGGTAAGATAAGCTTCAGGAAAATTAACAGAAAATACTCGTATACTGTGGCAATGTACCTAATTCTGAACCTGTAATCTCACTAAGTGAATAAAAGTTCACTAAGAACTGGAGCTCATCACATGGCTTCTCTGAAATCTTAAGCATCAGCATGAGCCAATTAACACGTCTATCTACCAGCTGAAGTTTCAATTACATTTCAACTAAAACTCTTCCCTTAATTTGAAATGGTACAAAGATCTATTACACAACAGACTTCCACTTAACCAGAAGCTGATAGTTAAGAGAAGACAACAGTTTATAATCAAAGCATTACTTTGAAACTATTCTAAAGTCCCCAAAACAGATAACCCAAGTCACTTGCTTAGCAATACTTCTACCCCACAGCACACAGATCTGGACTTGCCATGTAGTAGCTTTTCAGTAATCCACACCGAGAGTCAGAATTGCACAGCCAGCACTGATACAGCGGTGTGGAAACAGCTAAATGCATCCAACAAACTCCTTGACCCTGAACACAAAGATTACACACCTTTAGTTCTTCCAATACCTACGTAATTCCAGCTTGTGGTGCAAGCACCTGCTCTATCTCATGAACAGATTTCCTTTGATGCGTCATTTAAATCTGAAGTAACGTGAGCACAGCTGTTTGAGACAGCTCAACAGTTTCTTGTCAGTTTTGTAATAAACGTGCTTCCACAACAGGTACCAATACAGCCAATCTAAGGAAGATTTCTTTGCCTCTGAAGAACTATCTGAGATCTTCATCTACCACCTCCTCCTGATCTAAAATTCTGACCTGCCTACTATTGCTATTAAATGAAGTTTTCATTTGAACACTCAGATTTAAGTTTATTCATACACAGCGAAAGTTCCACCTGCATATTAAAAACAAACAGATTAGAAGTAAATGTTTTATTCTTCCAACTAAATTCCAGTACTACAAGGGCAGTAAAACAATGATACACTGAAAAATTGCAGCAATAAACATTTGTTAAAGACTGATAGAATAAATAAAAACTACAAAAATGAGAAATCATATAAACCCATTCTTAACCCCCAAAAAAGTCATGGAATACAGAAATGCCCTCCTTCACTATTTCACAGGCAGTACTGTGGGCTATTTGCTTAAAATTGTCCTGGGATTACATTCTAACTTAACTGTGATTACAGCTTTGTTGTAGTGCACAGTTATGAAAACCACACTAACTTCAGTCAGAAGTGTCATTCTACATTTTTATTTACACAACCAGTGAAGGGCAACTTCTAGAACACCAGCTTTAATCCTTTACTTTTTCAAACTTATTAACATAAGAAGCCAAATTGTAATGATACAGCAAATGAGGCCACTGGTATTATTACAGGTAGCAAAGGTCCACATCCAGGTGGTACTGACATCAGGGAGCACTCCAAAACCAGTTGCTGCATAAGAGTGGTTGCCACTGACAAAAGCTTGAAATAACCTGTGTTCACAGGGGGGAAAAATATGGCATTGCTGCAAGTCTTTACTGGGACAGCTTGCAACAATAAAACAGGGTGTATAGGGCAGCCCACATATGCAGAAAGTGTGATTCATGAAACGTCTGGAAAAAGAAAAGAAAAAGAGAGTTAACGTTGGAGTTAACAAATGCCAGCTCTATCACAAACCTGTTATGGCAATATCAAAACCTGCTTCAAAAATAAAACCCCAGCATGTTACAGGAGACAGTTTTCGATGTTTGAAACAAAAGCTGCATTTTATCTCGCATCTTCCTTTCAACCTCGCTCTTCCATGTTACCAATTTAAAAGTATTATAACTTGGGGCCTAGCTGAAGCTTAACAACAAACAATGGCCACTTAAATTATTGAACGTTCAGTAATTTAATGCTGCTATAGGAACCAGCAGAAACAGATACTCACAACTGGCAGGCTGTTCTCCATATCGTCGCATGATTTGATCATGCGTGAACTTCACAAATGCGTCGTATTGTTCTGCAAGCATGAAGCATCAGAAGTGTGAGTATATTAAGTTTAACTCAAGCTGAAAAATATTCAGGGCTACTTTTTATACATAAAAATCATATAAATCGAACACACATCCACTAACAGTAGCTTTAAGTGACTTTACACAGTTCGTAGCTGCCATTTCCTTTTCAGCCCCAAGAACAACAATGCAGCACACATCCCCTTCATTAAAAGGCTTTCCCTTACAAACTTCTGTAATGGGAAAGACAGTAATACACTCAAAGAGAATTATGCTGCACATACACAAAAACCTCAATATCCCTAACACCTGGTTAAGTGTCAGACGCCGTACTTTGAAGTAATCAAGCATGCCCATTTCACAGATCCATAATGGGGGCAGAGCAGTTACGCAAACATGGCATTAAGGTCAGTAATAGGGTTGGAAACATAACCTCACTCTGCTCCTATCACTACCAGATGTAAGAAAATTAATTTAATGAAATGGAAACATGGAAAAGTGGGACACAGGACAGGGACTTGCTACAGTTAGAAATTCTTTTTGGTGACCACCAGAAAATCAAAAGCAAATGACACACTACAAGAATGAAATGCTAAGTGACTTGACTAATTCCAATCACAAAAGTAGCCACAATAGGAGACATAGTTGACTGTGGACTTCATGAAAACAGCTACTGTGTAATCTGAAATGAAATTTAGGTATTAAATGTATTAATTTGGCTTTGAACTAAGCATTGTTATTTCCCAGAAAGATTATTCTTTCTATACACACATACATACAAGTACATTCGCAATATTTTATTCAGTTTTAATATTGCACTCATCAGCAGGATATCACCTTTCAGAATTAGGAAATTGAACAAGGAGAGTAATATCTACCAGATGCCGCTCCTCTCCATTCCCCTTCCTCCCTTGTGGAAAAATACATGTGCAGCAATGTGGGGTGTTCTGAGAAAAGGGCAAGGTCAAAGAAGGCAATCTTCAACCAAAAATGCAGTTAGATTTGTAGTGGTTCCTAGTCCCACAGGTTTGCCCCATTAAAGTCCCCATCCTCTTGCAGGGATGAGCTTCACCTTTGAAGTAAACAGGGTATCAGTAATCAGCAAGTAGTGCAGCAGCAGCCTAAAGTATGGACCTGACCCTATGATCTAAGGACATTCATCCCTGACTGCAGGAGCCCAGGGTCACGGCAGCCAGTTCCCCTCTGCCCACAAGCAGGACCTCTGTTTAGCTGCAGTTCTGACTGATGGCTTTTCATCAGCCATGCGAGGATCTTGGCCAAACAACAAAATAACACAAAGAGCAGATTGAAGGATCTGTTGCCCAGAAACCATTTCCAAAAATAACAGCAACCAGAACTTTTCCTGAAAGTATGCATTAAAGGCCAGAAACCAACTTGCAAGCTTTCTTCTTTAAAGGTTGAAGTCAACACACGCAGCTGCTTTGTAGCATCCTCTTTGTTAAAATTTTGGCGTTGGAAATTTAAAGAATCCACAGTCACTAAAAATCCCCTTTCCTGTGGGATTCAGATTGGGAAAGTTAAGCAATCCAAAGATAAGGGCAACCCACCGTGAACTGTTTGAAAATTTAGGTGAACACTTGTAAAGATACTTATGCCACTGGCATCCCATATATGTTCTAAGTAGCTATTTTAAATCGAAAGGTTACTAAATGCCACAAATGCGACTACTATATTCTACAACTTGACTTCTAGTATAAAAAGCTGTTTTTCACAGATTCCAGAAAACCTTTCAAGCTCAAGTTTCCCTTAGCCCCTTACGCTCCTCCTCTGGTTTTAAAATCTGCAAAGATCTTGCAAACCCAAGTTTGTGCTAACACAGCGGTTTCAGGTAACAGAGGCAGGAAGGAAAACCAGGGCATTACAGTGATCTTAGTTTTCCATTAATCAAATGCTCTGCATGAAAAGCAACTCTGCTCACAAAGAACATGGGAGGAGGGAAAAAAAGGCAGTATCTGGCTAACTACCTACAAGAAAACCGTGATTCAGAAAGGAATGAGGAAAATAGCTGAGATCCAACCATTCAGTTAAGTCACTTGAAAGACGCTATTCAATTGAGATTTAGTACAGAATTTCCAGTTACATTTCCATTGACTTCACTAGTTTGTAAGAATGAGTATCACCTTACTGTAAAAAGTTTAGAAAAAGATACAATCATTCTGTCAGTAGAAAAATATAACTGGCCTTCTATGTAAGGAATTTCTCGATTATTTTTGTAGGCTCCCTTTCTAAATTTCCATACGATGCTGAAAAATTATTATTAGCTTGATATATGGGATGCAGCAACATGATCTTTCCAATAGCTCTGTTGGTGATCACCATCGTTAGAACAAGTACACCTAACTCATCTCACCATCAACCACAACCCTCCAAACAGAAAACATCCCCCTTCCTTCCCCAAAACAAAACCAAGAATTTTCCCTTTGGGACTGACAGATGGAACACATGTGAGGGACTTGCCAGAGGGGTTCCTGCTGTAAAGAACTACAAGTTTGTATTCAGAAAGTGTCTGGAACAAATGTAAATATATCTGCTCTTCAAATGGTTATTACAATCACTGCTAACTGAAATGCATTTAAGAGAATGCAAGAAATGACCCAATTCCTAACATACATAAATAAGAAAAAAGCTCTGCAGAGTCCTAATTCATCAGTCTGAAACAGGTTAAAACAAAAAATGCAGAAATGGAACATTAGGCCCAAAGCAATAGAAGTATTTAGGGCTCTAGTTATAGTTGTCAATAGATGTGGACTTAAGAAGGACTTAGAACTATGGTCATTTCTTACATAGCAACGGCAGATCAGCAAGCACAGAACATGAACAGAGGCTCAGGTGCAGAGACAACACTATCACAGGCAACCAACAAGCCTGACACGAGTCTGGTGACTTTTAGGATGGGCACACCTATAGAGGGTTTTATTCCCCCATCTGAAGATATTTGCAAAGATGAATTCTGACGTGGTTTCAGGTGGGAAGCAGAACAGACATGGGTATTCAAAAGCATGTTTGCTGCCGAAGAGTGCACTCAGATGTTCATTATCATCACACTAAATATTAAATTAGACACTGAATCATACTGTGAAGGCACCTACCTCTGAATGCAACAGAATTTAGGTGCTCAAATGCTAGCAAGATGCTTAGAAGTAGAGAACTTTAACAACTAAAGAAAGGTCATCATTACAATGCTGACATTGGCATGATCCTTATGAAAAGGTAAGTTGGCATCAGGCACCAAAAATATCAGCTGAATGATGTGAAATACAACAATTCAACACAGAGCATCAGAAATGCGACGAAACTGCTGACGCTCAGGCACATACCAAACACCACTGGCAGCAGTGTAATGGTAAGTACTGGGAAGAGAAAGGGAAATCTTAGGTACTGTCTTCTTGCCAAATTCCAGAAAAAGGAAGTCAGTTCCCAAGCAGGAAAAAGAAAAAAAAAAAAAAAAAAAGTCCTTCACAAAGAGCTCTTAAACCAGTAGAATAGAAAGTCTTTCTGGCAAAAAATGAGGAGGAAATGATCAATTCAAACACGATAGCGAGAGAAAGTTCTATCTGAAATAAAACCACTGTTTCCATTGATTAGTAATACCCAGAAGTCACAGTTTCTATCGCAGGCAGCACAGAAAAAAACCAAAAACAACTATCAGAGAGACTACACATAGTTTTTTCTGTCCTGTATGCAATCTTATTCCCTAATCAGATTAGGTCAGAAAAAACAGCACAACACAAAAACGAGAAGAAGTTTTATGCTTTCAAATTCATCCTAACACATTATTTTATACTATAATATACCTGCAAGTTTTGTGGTCAAAATTTCTTCATACTCTTCACGGATTTTCTCTTCACGTTCTTTCAGCAAACGTTCACAGATCATTCCAACTTGTCTGAGAGTAAACAGCGGCTGTTCTTTTTTCAATGGTGATGACGCTGCAGATGAAGTACCTAAGATTAAATATTTGGGCATACCAATTTACACTTACAAGTAGTTCAGAACCATTTTTATAATCAGTTTTCTTCACATCTTTTACATTAAAGGAACTTTACAGAACACTTGGAGAAGTCTTTCTCTGCCGTTTGCACATTTCTAATTACTATTAAAGTAAAACTGGACACTCGAAGACATCTACAATGGACAATACACAGATATCAAAACATCAAGAGAGTGTCACATAAACACTGTGAACACCCTTTACCTGGCAGTTGCAATTTACAAATTTAAGCTTCTATTTTATGTAAAAATTACAGTACAGTATATTTTTGCAAAGAGTTGCTTTGCAAAAGCCTATTACAGTATCAATGGCAGGTTATGCAGGATGGTCTCTTGAAAACAATGCAAGCTTTGTATCCTATTGATTCTTAAAATAAGAAGCGACAATCTTCCAGATCAATGCTAGTATTGCCAAAAAAACCTGAACAGTAACTGGTGAGAAGGTGCCATAAACCACCAGATAACTAGGGAAAATTATTTACAGAGTCTAAAAACGCACAGCAGAATTACACAGAATTTTCTGGGTACCTGGCAAAGCTGGTCCAGTAAGGAGAAATGCATGTGGCTGTGCATCAGTAGAACAACAAGGATCTGTCTGCTGGAAGCTATTTTCTAAGTGTCTCCTCTTCTGCATGCGTTTGTACTCCTGTTTTATGTTGTACAGAATTTGTTCTAAAAGAAAAACAGTAAGAAAATTAAGCTTAAAATAATTATGTTTCAGTAATTCACTTAACTTTATTTCCACCCAAACACTGTAGATAATTAACAGATGATAAAAGCTAGACTCTTAAAACATGGTCTACAAAACCCACCACGTTTTACCTAAGATACATACAATGAAACTAACTAAAAGAAAGTTAACTTCCATCTGTTTTTACCAGGAAAACACTAGAAAAAATATTGTTAGTTAAGGTCAGGTATTGGTGCCAGAGTACCGCTAACAAAAAAAAACCAGCGTAAGGTTAAAATTTAGGAACTACCAACCATGCAATATACATGTATAAAAATTAGGCTACAGTACTTCTCCTGGTGTTCATAATCTCCTTTCATACATTTAATTTGCAATCATCATTCTCCCCCAGACAGTGTTTATCATTCATACAGTTAACGGTAATAAAAGACTCTAGAATAAAACATGTACATGAAATACCACTCCTCTCTGTATAGTTACTGGCATATAGGCAGCAAAGTGGAGAGGAAAACACAATTTAGACAGAATATGCATAAAGCAACTACTGCTTAAAATCTCAAAGAATCAGAAACAGGAAGACAAAATACAAGCGCCTTCCACAACAATTTTGACAGCCTCAGATCTTGCCAAATAAACACAATGGAGGGATCAATAGCCTCTTTTAAAGGAGTATGGCAATATGGAGTTCAGAGTTTGATTTTGCTGAATAAAATACAGCAAGTGCTTTTAATAATCTCATCTCCATTGTAGAATTACAAAGAAAAGTGTAATCCTTGCAAGAGAATTATCAATCCTGTGTACCTTTTCTCTGAAATTTCATGCCTTTCCAAAAGGCTCCCAGATACATCAGTGCATATCCTCTGAAAATGTAAAATATTAAAGAAAAAAAAGCCATTTTCTATTTTTTTACAGGATACTTTCACTGAAAGTGAAAAAGTCTTCCAAAGACTCCCTCTTTGAGAGAATTCTTACTTTCAAATGCATTTTAAAAAAATTCCCTATAGTATCGGCATCCACTGAGATTCCTAGACTTTTGGCCGAGACAGGTTTCCAAAATTCAGATACATACAAATCAATGTTGCAAAGGGCTCCACTCACTCAGTACCTTCCTACTTCTGCTCGGCATTTTGCCAATGCAATACCACGAAAACTTCTCAACTAACTTTCAGGTTTGTAAACAGTACGCTACTGAGGTTCCTCATTTGAACATTTCCTAGCAAGCAACCATGTGAAGCGAGTAACTTCAGCTACCAGCTTATTCAGTCAGTGGCTGAAGCTTATGCTAGACCAAGCAGAAGCAAACATTTGCCAATTCCTAGGTCTGAGTTTTAACTATTGCAGTGGTTCTTCAATTCCGTAAGTCAGTCTGGGGGCTTCCAACTCACAAAAAGAGAGGAAAGTGTTTCCAGTCAACAGCAATACCAGCATTTTCAGCAAATGAGCTTGTTTGGATTTTGTCCATTGATGAAGGCTTTGCAGTTTATACCTTTGCAGTCCCATGCCCACAGCGCTTGTACAATTTTCAGCTCCCTCAAGGGGGACCAATAACTTGGTTCAAAGAAGCAGCAAATGCAGAAGACATAATAAAGCAGCACAGTAGGGAAATGAAGAGAAGGAAACTATGAGAAAGTGGGGGGGAAAATTACTCAAGGGTGGCTGGAGGATTTATACTTTTTTGTAGGACAAGATGCATACTACACTCCAGTGTGGTACAGAAATACATGAATCAGGTTCAACCAAGATGCAGTCAGGCTTCAAAATTAAATAGAATCCCAAGTAGAATTTGTCACGTACATACACGCTGCATCAGTCCGACAATGGCCCTGCAACATTTTTACTCAACAGCATTATGGTGGTAAAACAATACTTTTCCTCAGAATTAAGTGCTGTTCTAGCTAAAGCAATAAGACATAATTTTGAGTGGGAATCAAATTAGCTCATAAGATAACATCTGTCCTCAAGCATGGCTACACTATGAGAAACGTGACTGCAAACATTCACTGTATTTACATTAACTGAAGAATGTAATAGATCACGTGCGTCCTTCACTACAACTACGTCATCTTCACCATACTTTCCAAATTCTGCATGAGCTGCAAAAACATCAGCCAAATTTCGGGTATAACAACTTTGATAAAAATCTTCTCTACAGCTCTCCTTTATATTATCTTTTTGCAGAAACATTCTCAAACCACATTAATCACCAAAATCATTAAGGGGTGGGGAAAGTGGGGGCAAACAACCTAAACAGACTCTGGTTAATGGATAAAACTCCGGGAGTTAAAACAAAAATCATCAGCCAGGTTTTCTCCTGCCCTAACAACCCCTGAAAATTACATAGAGAAAAATTCTGGCTGGTTAAACAACCAGCCAGAATAGAAGGAGCAAATGCAACATATGAAGGGGGATGGGGAGGAATAGATGATAGGGAAGGGAAGGGAAAAAATCAGGTTCTGACTTTGGGAAAACATTAACTCCTGGGAGAGAAAATTAAGATCTCTGCACCGAGGAAACATGATTCTATTCCAAATTATATTGAACTGTGGACACAGAAGTCTCAATGATATTACAGTAATTTCATCTACTTCTAACTTGGAAACACTTTTTAACTTACCATCTGAAAATCTTGCTCCGAAAATCAAAAATATCAAAAAACACCACTGACAAATGCATCGGGAGATCCCTGTCCTGACAAAACCACCTCTGACAGTTTGCATTACCACAACTTCAGGGAAAGGTACAAAACTAAGCAAAGTGGGATGGAGGAGGGGACTATCTAAACATGACAATACACTGTCTAAACTGCAAACAGCCACCAAGACAAAAAGCCTTAAATTTCAAGTCCTGACTAAACACTTGTTGAGCATGTACATAACCTGGTTATGTAAATAGTATTTCTCTATTTAGTCTAACTTCAGAGATTTAAGGAACTATTGCTCAGCACAGAGAACTGGACTACATGCTCTACTCAGTACCGAGCTGCTAGCAGGCAAGATGACTGCAAGAATGACTCATCTCATACTTCCCGATCTCCACCATTTGTAAAATGGAGATTAATAGTCAAAAAACACAAGTTTAACATAGCATTGAACTGTTCAACAACTTCTCACACAAATGATCAGACTAGTAATACTTCAAATTAAGCAGGCACATTTTCACAGCAGCAAAGACCGAGTAGACATTTTTATTAACATACAGTGACATAAAACTTATTAACATACAGTGACAGCCTTTAAACAAAACTACTTCACTGTGAAATGTAAGCTTGCAAATATTTATGACTGACTTAAAATGAAAACCTGAATGCCAAATTGAATTATTGTGCCTTTTTTTTTTTTTAAACAATCTAGGAGAGTAAGAAAAGTTGTTTAAATGCATGAAGTTACTTCTGACATTTATAGTTTTGCTTAATAAATCCACAAATACATCTGATGAACAAACATATTCTGTTCAAAACAGTTTTTATAGCATCTCAGCACTTGAAAGAAGCCATGAAATATAGGTAGGGCAAACCAGACAACTTTTGAACAACACCTATACTGCAGACATCTGACTGTAAAGCCCTGTAAAACTCTGGCCCAGTTAAACAAAGTTCAGAGTTAGCAGATCTCGTTCTCCAACCTTATTTTGATTCCAGAAAACCTTCCTGACTTTTCAAGTTCAGTTTCTTAACTTCCTTTACTTCCAATTAGCTCTCACTATTCTCCCCACAGTTGACAACTGAATTAAAATGTGCATTTCACTGGTGTCAAACACAGGACAGGGGTTTTTTATGTGTTCCTCAAAGTGGAGGCCCAAATTGTCTTTTTCAACAATGACATGCATTTTAATTAACAATTTATTTTATATATACAAATTTAAAATCTGAAAGTGCACTCATTAAAGAAAACCTGATCATTGTGAGCTTCTTTAAGACTATAAAACTGAAGTGAGAATTTGAATCATATATATTAGGAGTCATTAGATATTTTAAGTAAAGACTTGCATCCATCTTATAGGTGCTGAAGTTCAAATCGGACATTGTACATCAAGCAATAATTTCTTTTATGAGGTAACAAAAGGAATATATTTAATATGATCAAACATACATCACTGTGGCCTACCCTCATCTTCTTTTTAATTTCACTTTATCCCCTGTGCTCAGCATTTCCTACTGGTTAGAGTCACCTCTGAAGGCAAAGAGCTAGCTAACACCAGGCAGAGGTGGTGAAAGTGAAAACCAGGCTTGCTGAATCTACAGTAGTAGCAAGAAAAAGCCACACTGCTAACACACTGAAACAAGTTAGTACTTCATAAATGACACCTGAAGTTCAAGATGACTATGAATCCTGGCCAGTTACGCAAGGCTATTATATGCCCCCTTCTCTTCCTTCAGGTTCAAGGCTAAAATAAAGAATGACAAAGATTGCTACTGTCTCACCACGACCACTAAAGGCACAGGAAACTCAGTTAAATACACCTGAATATAATGAAATACATATATACTTTTTTTTTTTTTTTAAGCTAGAGCTCTATGTACTAAGAGCATAAAGTTGAGTACATATGTTCATGAAATAATTGCATTAAGGTGAAGGACAGCATTCACGCCAGTCTTCTTCCAGAATTTTTGGTATTATTTGGGGAACCAAAATTTCACATTTCAGCTGCTTTTACACCCAGTGAAGAGTGGATGAAACACGAAGGAGGCAATTCAGAATTCAAGTTTGACATCTGGAATATGATCTGTCATGCTAATGGATTACAAAGCCAAATATTCATTTCCAAGGAGTGATGTCTTCTTCTTACTTCCTTTAATTCATGATAAAAAGGCAAGTTATTCTTTTTGAAAGTTCTGTCATCTAATTACTTCATCCTGACCTGTAATTACCTAGAAATTATGTACAAGGGAAACAGCAGTTCAACTTGAAAAGGTAACAAGGCAAACAATTATTTTCTTCATTTTAATAACTGCTTATCAACTATGAAGGTGCTGATTATTTCC